ATACTTTTCTTTTTATGGATCTCTAATAAAGTGTTTAAAATAAATATACAAGGCAAAGGCAGAATTTTGTAAAAGATGAAGATAGGTTGACATGGTTCGTTGAATGAAGCTCCAGCTATTTTTTTTGCATACGAAAAATCTTTTGAGCATGAGAAGATTGTCCCCATAAGAGAGTTCCATACATCAAATGGGAGTGAAATAGTGAGTAATACGCAGTTAGTAATGTATTGGTACTTATAAATCTTTTCAGCTGGCGAAGAAGGTAGAGCTGAGTTGACAATTTTTTGCATAGAAAGTCAATATGATTTTCCCATTTAAGTGTGTCATCAATGATTATACCTAATAATTTTACGTGCTTCTTTGTGGTCACCCTATTATTTGAAGATATAACTATTTGTTGAGTTTTTCCCCTATTTAATTTCAAATTATTGGAAGTAAACCAGTTTACAGCCTTTTCTTCAATTTCATTGGTCTTGTCGAGTAGTTTACTCATGTCGGAGTTAGAGTGAATCATTGTTGTATCATCTGCAAAACAGATGACTGTGCTAGGTAGTAGGCTTTGAAAATTATCATTCACATATATTACAAAAAGTATAGGTCGAAGGATTGACCCCTGAGTTATGCCATAGGAAACTATTTCCTCTACAGATAATTCCCCGTTTGTGCAGACGGCTTGTTTCCTTCTGGTTAAGTATGAATTAAATAAGTTTGAGGCTGTACCTCTTATTCCAAAAATTTCATGTTTACTGATAAGGATATTGTGGTTGACACAGTCGAAGGCTTTACTCAAATCCCACAATGTTAGCGAGGTGAGTTCACCACTCTCCACATGTTCGATAACTTTGTGTATTACCTTTCCCACTGCGTCTATTGTAGATCTATTCTTGATGAAGCCAAATTGATGGTCATGAAGAAGATTGTATTTGTTTAAATAATTGGGGAGGCGCTCTTTAATTACAATTCCTAGGATTTTTTCTAAAATGGGTATAATCGAGATAGGTCTATAGTTGTCTGGTATATTGGGATCACGTTTTTTAAAGATAGGCACTACTTTACTTATTTTAAAGACATCGGGAAAGATACCTTCCGTGAAGGAGCGATTCATTAATTGTGTCAAAGGTTCAACAAGAAAGTCAATGGTTTCTTTGATGATTTGACTATTCAAATGAAATATGTCAAAGCTAGAGGTGTTCTTGAGTTTTCAAATCGCAAGTGTCACTTCTTCATGATCAACTGGTAGTAGAAAAAATGAATTAACTGGTTTTGGGACGCTATAAATATAATCGATAGCGGAGATGTTGCAGGTAGGTAGAGATTTAATGATATTCTCGGCAATATTCGAGAAAAATATGTTAAATTCATTGGCACTGATGTTGTTGGGAGTTGTTTTGTGCTCACTAGTAAAGTTTCTTTCGTTGTTCAATAAGTTCCAAGTATCTTTATGTTTGTTGGTTGAATTTTATATGAATTTATCATATGATTCTTTTTTTGCCTTGTAAACGGCAATTTCATATTCATGTTTGAATTTTTTTAAATGTTCCGTATCGCTGGGATGTTTTGAAGAGGTACTTACAGTGCACAGTGCTTATAAAGTATCTCTCATTGAACGTAATTCATTATTATAAAATTTAAAAGGTCTCTTTCGCCGAATTTTGACTTTTGTTTTTTCCATTTGGAAATGTTTACGAATAAGGGAACTATATGTGTTGTTCAGAAATTCTGCTAGCGAGTTCAACGAGGAATCATTATTGTGGAAAATTTGCCAATCACCATTCTCTAGGGACCGTTTCATAGCTTCCAAGCCTTTGTGATTTATTTTTCTGTGCCATTTATACTCATCAGCTTCGAGAGTTTATTTGGTGATAGAAATGAATTGTCCACCATGATCAGAAATGCCAGGATCTGATATTCCCGTTATGCACTCACTATCATTGAAGTTGGTAATAATGTTATCTATACAGGTAGAGCTTTTGGAGTTCGTTCTTGTAGGAATAGTTATTTTGGGTTTCAGACCAAAAGATTCAATGGTGATTAGCCAAGATGTACAGACAGGACTTTTTTTATTTATGTCAATGTTGAAGTCACCGGTTAGTATAATGTTAGTGTAATTGGGTAATAACAAAGTTAAAAGTTCTTCAACTTTATTGAAGAATGAGTCATATTTTTTCGACAGTGAGGATCTATAAATTGTTATGAGAGCAGTGTTCATGTTTGTTAATTCAATTCCACAAAATTCTGTGTATTGTTCAATACAGAAATCATTCAAAAGGAGAGGTTTACATGTGACGTTATTACGAATATAAATAGAGACTCCTCCATGTTGAAGGGTTTGTCTACAAAAGTAACTTATATGGTTATAATCATCGAGATTTACAGATATCAGATTTTCTATGTTGAGCCAATGCTCCGATAGGCATATAATGTCACAATCTTTGTTTTCGAGATATAGCTGAAACTGTTCTACTTTATTGCTAATACACTGAATATTGAGATGGAAAATCTTCAGCTCATTATTCTGAAGATGTTCTTTATTAAAATCTATACAAAAAAATATTTAAGGTTGAGAAGAAGTAGCTACCCCCTTTTTATTGGTCTGTTCTTCCAAGAACCTCTTACCTTTTCGAAAGTAAAACCTTTCAAAAGCTATATTTCTGGCCAAAGGTTAAGATCATAGATTGCTTGAAGGTTATCTGGGTTTACTCCCACCATGAAGGACTGATTATTGACGCGGGCATCAGCAAAGTCCAGCTTTTTGACACTGATGTCTAGAGAGTTTAATTTGGTTTGCAAATAGGTACAGATGTTCTCTTGAGTTGTGTTATCAGGAACTCTGGTAACGTAGAGCCAAAGCTTTTTGCTTTGTTCTTTTCCCCGGAAATTTTCATCCCCCTCTCCCATTCCAACAATTACTTTCTTGGGTTTCCTATGTCTTCTCTTGTTACCCCAAATGAATATAAAACGGTTTTTGAAAACGGACGGCCGGTATATTGGTTTTTCCAAACGTTACAATTCATCAATTGAAAAACCTCAATCAGTATAGAGTTTGCTAGAAGGAAATTCTTGGATCAATTCCCAATTAATGGGGCCATTAATATTTATCATATATTTTGCCGACGACACAACCCTTACACCTACGCAAACAGATCCTGTTGAACTCAACAGATTTACAGTGGAAGCCGAAAACAAGGCTCATATTTGGCTCACAACAAATTACTTCATAGTAAATCAGTATGTATAAAACCCAAAACATGTTTTCTACTCAAATAGAAATATTACAAATAGCACTGAATTTATTACCTTTGTATTTTTCTTAGTTTCACAAAGATTCATGAACTACTCAGTTACCAATGTATACTAGGTAATTAATTTTATATTTCTATATAATACATGCTATCCCCTAGGTTAAGTTGTAAAACAGCATCGGCTGAACTTCTCGCTTTCGTTGATTTTTGTATTTACTTCTTCTTTATAAACAATGTATGTCAATGAATTATTATTATTATTACTTCTGTGAGTAAATCGGGTATCACACTAGATGACAGATTGAAATGGAGTGCTCATATAGACAAGTTCTGCAAACTCTACTCAATTAATTGTAAGAAGACAATTAAAAAATACCTCAGTCATTCAGTACTGTTGAATTCATACCATTCTCTCTTCCTTATATGAAGAAAAAACAGAACTACACAAACTTCCGCGCACGCACCTACATGTACTGAACTTAAAAAACCCAGCGAAAACTTTTCCACAAAATGATTTCCATCTAATGAAAAACATATTTCTGAACTATACATTTATTTTCAGATGTAAAATGCAGAAAATAAGTAAGTATTAATGACTAACAGTTTGCTTCAGTAAAATAATCGTTTCTTCAGAACTATTCGGGAACCTAATTTTCGTTTACTCATCATTTTGAGGCACTACAAACGATAAAACTCATTAGTAAATAGTAATTTTCAATAAATTCAAATATATTCAATTAACTTTTGTATGAGTTACCTTTATAGCATAAATAGGATTAGCTCGCACTAGTCCTTAGTTTTAATCTTCCTCTTTGAAGATGATCACTTGGTGATCAAAACGTGTCGAGGGTTAAAAATAACGATTTGGTGTTGGGGAAAAACTCCAGTAATATTCATTTAAGAAGGTGTACATAACGCCCAAGTCAAGGGTCAGCGGACCCTTATGACAAGTTAGGCAACGACATGGAATGTTTAGGTTTTGCACTGCTTTGCATCAGCACAAACTTCCTTTTTGAACCAAAGGGCAGTTGGCAGAACCTGCATATGTATACATCTAGATATGTATTAATTTTTAGTTGTGTTGTGTGCAGTAACATTATTAATAATATCTAAGCTTGATCTATGAATTAATGAACTTTGACCCCTTACCTGATATTACAAGATTCTTGAACAGGTTCAGATTCTTTGAGAAAACAAAGAAAAGAAAAACTTCACATATAACATCAAATGAAATTTGAATATTGAAACTGTAATTCAGAAAGGTACTTTCGATTTCCAACCACATATCGAATTTGCTCAATNAATTGACAGAGTGTTTTAAAAGTCCGTTTTATTTTTCCAAGGAAATGCAATGATTTTCAGAAAGGTATCTACTAATTGAATAAATAAGTACAGAGATTGTGTGTAGCCTTGAACAATTTGGCAGAAATTTTGTTTCTGGTACAAGGCAAACTTTTTTTAAATGAATCGCAAAGTACAGCCTATAGTAGAAAAGGCATATTATACAGCTGAGGAATATTTTTATATTGTTATGGACCCACAAGAAATATCGTAAACAATATCTATAGTAACTATATCTACATGTATTTTATGTGTATATGTACTACATGTACTACATGTACATATATGTACTACATGTACTACATGTACTACATGTACATATATGTACTACATGTACTACATGTACTACATGTACATATATGTACTACATGTATTTTATGTATTTTATGTGCATTTACAATTTCATTGAATACAAAAAATCTAATAAAATATAATGAGAGACATTTGCTTATGTAAAAAAGCTTTATACTTTTCAATGCTAAAAATATTATCAAAATAAAAAATTAACTGACCTGTTGACGAGCAACATTTCTAGGAGGCTTCACTACAGAATCGACATAAGCAAGTTTTGTAGTTCTAATTGGAATTGATTTATCCTGAGATTGTTTGATGTTTGCCGTTATAGCACTTAGTCTTGCTTCTCTTTCATCCAGACAACGCATATACATATCACGCCATGATTCTAGCTCTTCTCTTTTCTTCGTCCGGAATTCCTTTTGAGAGTGTAACAACCACAGTTCATCAGTGTCTTCGATTAAATATGGGTTATGATGCTCCATATTGAAAAGTTGATCTGGAGTGGCTTTTTCCAAAATTGGTTTTAATATACTGTATGGCACTCCGCCTGTATATTCCAATGCTGAAAAATGTTCAAAATGTTACATTGAACGTCTACAGTTAAAGTTTGGAGAATATTTTAATAACTCTCTGAATCCTATTTTATTATTCCTAAACCCAACTTTATGTATTATAATGCTGGTTTTCATGTTTGTCACATTAGATGTTTATACTTTTTACATTTTACATTGTTATCCTAATGAATTGATTGTAATTCATTTGTGAATTGATAATATTCTCAGTAAAGAGCATTTTGGGTTTCAATGAGATAACAAACAAAAGTGAAGCAAAATTTTGTTTTCTTTAGATAACCTATAAAAAAAATCAGCAAAGAATCTGAAAAATACGAAACTTCGTGGGAAAACATAGGAGCATAAGTCAGCCAATGGACTTCATGAAATGAAAATTAACCCTAGTACAGGCGTGTGTATACACACATACATGCACGCACGCACCCACGCACGCACACCTACGCACGAAGGCACGCGCACACACAAATATATTTACACAATCAGATGAGTAATAGATGTTCGAAGGTGCAATCGCTCTGAGGTAACCTTTCAAACCTACCAAAGACACACCCCACATACACGGGCGCACTCACGCCCATACGAACGCACGCACGAACACAAAAATTGTCTTTTTACAGATGAAACATTGATATTCTCAAAACGAAAATATCATCAACCGTTTGTTAGATATTTGTAAAAAACTGAAAATGGCAGAATTTGTTTCTTTGCTATAGCGCCTCCATTTCCAATGATGTCTAAATGTTAGGAGAACTTTATGTTTCATTTGATATTTGTTATGATCTGATTGGATCCAATTTTCAATGCAACATTTCGTTCATTGAAATCCATTATCAATATATTTTTATTAGATATCATCAATATTCTATAATCATTGTTTATCATATAAGCTAGTTTCAATTTTTTTTTTTCATATTTGTGTATACTTTTTCATTTCTTTAATTTTTACTGTTTGCATAAAATGAAAGGAAAAACTAGAACCTCTGGCATAGAATGAATTCAAAACAATCACTTCTCCCAATCACCAAAATTGCAACACTTTTCTCGACGCGCGTTTCACCAACTGAGTTTGCATCTTCAGTAGATGAACAAAACTAATTACTAACTGATATTTCCTATTTATATCTAATGGGGTACACTTTCTGATAAACATCAATGATTTGGGATAGAGAGATTTGTGGGAAATTTTCTCGTTAAAATTCTTGCAAATTTCAACAGTTATTTCGAGAAGAAATTTACGAGACGTTTTTTCATGAATGTTCCTGCAAATTTCAACACAGCGATTCATAAAAAGGAATACAATGGGCTGTTTGGAATGGGACCTTTATCATTGTTCATAGTTCCCATGCCACACTTTGCTATTTCTAGACTTTCAAAAGCATCCGAAATCTAGTTTCGCTCAACACGCTTTGGAGAGTGGCCATAGAATGAATGAAAACTGTCTGAAACTGTTGAGATCCATACATGACACTAGATTTTTTGATCCATTTGAAAGTCTGGAAATAACAAAGCATGGTGTTGTTGCTTTAAATTAATTTTGTT